AAAAATCTCCATTTTTATGGGTACAATTTTAAAAATAAAATGAATAAAACGAAAAAAAGATAAAATTTGTACGATAACGTCGTTTCTTATCTCCAGTTATCTCCACTTCTACTCTAATATCATATGCAATAACTTATAAAATAAAAAATAAAATTAGGGAGGGAGAGGAGGGAAATAAAATAATATTTTTCAAATAAAATCTGTTGAAAAACTCTGTCCATTACAAAATCTTTTAATAGCATAACAAACGTCAACAAAAAAACTGGAAGCATCGATAATATTTTATTTTATTACTTGACAATCATCGTTTTGAAAATGTTGTTGTAATCTTCAAATATCACGATTTCCATAATAATGCAATTTTATAATTTAATGCAATAAATAAAATCCTTAAATCGAAGAAGACAAGACGAAAATCAAAAAAAAAAAAACTTGAAAGAATTAAAAGTAAAAATTGTTGAAAAAAAAAAATGGATGAAAAATCGATCGATATACCACCGTTAGCGTGGAACGAAAGAGGTTAGGGTTTAATAACATCACCTTGCAAAACATCGCGTTAATGCGGCCTCCTCTTTTTTCCTCCACCATCTTGCGCCTTCATCTCGTTTCCTTCCTTATCCCGTCACGGGGAAAAGATCCAAGAGCGTATTTCTCATATTTTATTCCTACAACCTCGCTCCTTTTTATTGCGGTTCGACTGAGAGCTGCGGGCTCATGTCAGACTGCGCACCCTGCACTTTCCAGCCATGCTTGCCAACCTTTGAGAGTCCCTAGAAGAAAAAGAGAGAGAGAGAGAGAGAGAGAGAGAGAGATATTCGAAGATTAGAAAGAACGGAAGGAAATGCAAAGAAATTCGCGCATCACGGCTTGAAATAATGACGAACAAGCCGTTCGTTTGTCCTACATTCCGGTCTAGTTATTTTTCTTGAAAGAAGGAAAGAAAGAAAAAAAGAAGAGAGAGAGAGAGAGAGATAAAAATAAAAGAAGTAAGGAGAGAAATTGGAGAAGAAAGCGTTGAACGACGCCATCGTATTTCCCCAGAACGTGAAAGATTACCCTTTTTCCCCCTTGTTATCCCCACGTAACCGTGAATTTCGAATATTTCCACTGTCTTCTTCTGTAAATCTACATTTTTCCTCTCCTCCCCGCATTCGGCGCAATATTTCTTTTCAAATCACCGGCAATGTTGTACAATATGCGAATATACACACTACGGGAGAAACTTCACTCGTGTATATTCTCTGCTCACTTCTCTTTGAAATTCTGAAAGGGGAAATGGAGGGAGGGGGAAGAGAGAGAGAGAGAGAGAGTGAGAGAAATAAAAGGGTTGGGGATGTGTGAGAAAATGAAAAGATGAAACGAAAAAAAAAAGAAAAAAAAGAAAAGAAAAGAAGAGAGGGAAGAAAAAAATGGAGAGGGGGATGACAATACCACTTGGCATTCTCGCTGTTACGGAAATGTAGAATTAATTAGATGGCACGAGCACACGTGTCTCGATATTTGCTAGCGATGGGCTCGAGTGTCTCGCGAGCGTGACACGATCGAAGTTGCGAGCTGTGCGTCGAAACTAAATCTTTTACGACATTTTTGAACGGCAAATTTGATCTTTTTCTAACAGAATGAATATCACTGATTCATTTTAATCGTGTAACTTGTTTCAACACGAATTTTATCATATAATCGTGATTGATTGATTTTTCTCGTGTAAAAAGAAGATACCTGTTTACATTTCATTTAGAAATGTAAGTATAAGCATAAGAGCACGGTTCCATCGTCACAGTTGTGAATTCAAAAGGAATAGAAAAAAGAAAAAAAGAAAAAAAGAAAAGAGAGAAGAAAGGATCATGCATCGATTATAGGAACATGTCGACTAATTATAAGGTTGCCCAAGTACTTGGACGGTCTATTAGTAAAGCTATTACTGGCAACCGATCTCCTTTGGTAAAGCTCGAAGAAGCTAATGGAGACTGTCGTCCTGAAAATACAATTTTCAGACAATCTGGTTTCCTAGAGGACGGACGGCAATCAAGCACCACTTAAGCCCTCGTCGTTCGTTTTATGATCCCGCAACAAGTATACCGGAGACAGGAAAATTAAACGATCTCTCGAAAACATCCGCGACTGCTACGTTTATGACGTATTTATTTATAAACAAGGCCCGATTTCGAAATTCATTGACGCTTTATACACGTAAAATATCGAAATGCAATTAAGGTACGAAATGTTTTTCTTTTTTTTTTTATGGATTTAAATGAATTAATGATTCGTTAAATTTATTAAAATAAAATATATCTGAAAGGCATTTGCATGTATAATTTTTATACAATTATGTGGAAATATTATACGTTAAAATATTATTATGTTAAATTAATATTAAGAGAATATTTGGAGAAAATATTTGCATACATTTTGCAAGATATTTTCAATGAACCAAATTTTTAAATTAGACGTTTTATTCTCATAATATTAAATATTTATAGAATTTTATGAAATATTGATAAATTATGTTAAATTAATTAAGAGGATATTATATTATATAAAGTTTTTTTAATCAGCTTTTATAATATATAAATAATAATCTTTTTTAATAATATATTTCAATGGTAATTAAAAAGATATTGCAAGTCTTTGATTTTTTCTTTTTTTTATAGAAAGTGTTAATGTATTCATTTCTAAGTATCAAAAGAAATAAATTCAAAAGATAGTATAGTACAAAATATGTTGAAACTTATTTCTTATAAACAATTAAAATATAAAATTTAAATTGATTATAAATTAATAAATACGTTTCAATCGAAATTTTTGTATTCTAATCTCTTCTTTTTATTTTGATATTAAGAATCAACCAAAAGTGTCCCACGAATATATCAACACTTTGTGTATTTCAAAATTTTAGATAAGACATTTTAATTAAAATATAAGTGAAACATTTTAATTAAAATCGAATATCTAATCATTCATCGAGTAATTATCATTTTAAAATCACAATTTAATATAGAAAAATAATAATATTTATTTATACATACATTTCAATCGATTATTCGTGATCTATGACTAAGATAATTAATTTAACTTCTGTTTCAAAAAAATGTTTAATATTAATTTTCACAATTTAAATTTCAAAGATGTTACAATTCAATGTTATAAAATTCTGTAAATATCAGTTGCGTTATTTCACATTACCTATTCAATTCTATAATTCACCATTTCGTTTTTAAAGTTTTACAATAATATTTACACGCAAAAGTGTTCGTATACGTATTTGTAAAAAATTTAAAATAAAATAAAAAATCCCCGCAAAAAATAAAAAGTACAAACTCTAATAAATTTAATCGAGTTTCCATCCATAAAACTTTACCACCTGCATAAACATTCGCGATCCACACTTACACTTGAACGATCCTCTCTAACTGCAACCAGCCTTTTAAAACGATATTACGTGTAATCCAATGGTAATAATCGTACAATTTTGATCGATCGAGCAATCAGTTCGTCATAAACGCGCAACATCAAAAAGGTTTATTAGCGCACAAGGCTGATGGACGTATCAGAGGAGACGGAAGAGAGCGGTCTCGGCCGGCTTTCATCAATGAAATCAAGTTAGTAGTATCTGGAGAGGTTTCCTGGGAGACAGGAAGGTGTAATGAGAGTAGTTTAGTGCTTAATCGGGGTTTCTCGAGCGGCATCTCGAACTACTCCAATTAACTTCGCGCGCCAACCCCGATTGCCGTTAGATTCAAGGGTAAATCCGTGTGATATTGATTAAATTTCGAATGGGCCACGAAGGAAGCAAGTTTTCTTTAATAGTCGTTGGCGGTAGTGAAGTGTCGTTTGGATAATTAATCAGTGAGAACGTCGATGGACGTTTTGGAGTGAAACTTCCATCCATGTGGAGGAGGTGAGGGGTCGATGCGGTTAAAAGCTGTATCGATCAACGAAAAGCGAATTAATCTAAGTGAAATTGCACCTATGAATCGAACGTTGTATCGAATTTAGGTAACCGGTGGCATTCTCGATTAAACGGGATGTCAATGATGCGCAAAGTGTTAATTAGGCGCACATTGGTGCTCCCCCCTGGTGGTGGTTTTGGCCGGATGTCATTTCAGGATGGATTGAATTATTTCGTTGCAGGGAATTACGTTTTGGAGATTGATATTTTCGAGCAAAAAGAGGAGTGCTGTTACGTACGTGTAAGGTTTAGAATAGATAAGAAATAAGACGACACAAAAGTACATAAAAAATATTGGCTAAGTTAAAAAAAAGTGTACTAATCAAATAATAAGAGTCCCTAGAATATAATTATATTATACATATATTTACTAATGTAAATAAATAATAAAATGTAAGATAGGGACTATATGATAACATACGAGTGCAACGTATCATGTGGCTTATACGGTGACATACGAGTGCAAAAGGTTAATAAACACTAATACACTAATACACTTGTTAGCATTATTTCATTCTTCTCATAGACACGTGTCTCTATTACTAAAAATCCATGATACACGATGCTAACAATACACAATAAACAATATTATATTTCAATTAATTATTTTTCTCTATCCAATTATAATTATTCTGAAATGAGTAAAAAAAAAGTAAACACGAATATACTAATACACTTGTCAGCATTATTTCTTTCTTCTCATAGATAGATGTCTCTATTACCAAAAATCCATGACACACGATGCTAACAATACACAATAAACAATATTATATTTCAATTAACGAATTTATTTTTCTCTATCCAATTATAATTATTCTGAAATGAATAGAAAAAAAGTGTAAAGCATTTTATTTTATCTATATTAAGTAAACACGAATATACTGATACATTTGTTAGAGCATTATTTCTTTCTTCTTATAGATAGATGTCTCTATTATCAAAAATCCATGGTACACGATGCTAACAATTCACAATAAACAATACTACATTTCAATTAACGGTATCATATTAAAGTGTCATCAATCCTTGACACTATTTCAACGTACGAATTTATTTTTCTCTATCCAATTATAATCTACGATCCACTAAGTGGCTACGTACTTTCATCGTTATCTCTTAACGTAGACAGGCGATTCGTCGCACTCCAGCTTATAACTACCGAAAGGCTTGTTGTTGTGTATATTGTTTACGGCCATGTGAGCGTACACGCGAGGGTTTCGTGATCCGGGCACGTATCGCCCGTATCGAGACAGGACGAGGGCCAGAACAGGATTGGGCGGTGGATGTAGCTCGCTGTTGTAACTATCATCGTTCAGAGCCCCGCTCAGGAAGCGATCGAGGGCTTTGATGGCCGCCGTTATATCCTGCGAATTACGATGGGGATTCGTCGCCTTCCCACGATGCCCCAATCCATCCGAATCATCTGTTAGGTATTCATCGACCTCCTCTACGACACTGTACGCCGATCGGCGAGGTACGTGAGCGCGATACCCGACCTCGTGCTGCCGCAGCCTTGTCCCGTTCCCCGGCCGCCATGATGATTTACCTAACCTCAACGCCTTTGCTCCAGAAGTTTGGCTTTCGCTCGACCTGAAAATGCAAATATTGGGACGCGTTATCGCCGGCCGCTCGATTATCATCCGTGATTTACGTTAATTTTATACTCCGTGACTTGTAATTTTGGCGATTATGGACTCGTGTGTGTTTTGAGGAGACGTGTAGACACGCGTCGGGTGTGGAGAATAGTAATGGTGAGTAAATGTTACATAAGATAGTGAAGAAATTATTGAGGAAACAAAATGAATATTGTTTATATATTGTTTTAACTTAACTTTTAATTTTTTAGTATAAGTAAGTCGTACGATTTAAATCTGGAAAAGGCAAAATTTTATTTAAAATTACGTTTTGTAAAGAGATACGACTACAGAATTTAAGAATAATTACGATAAAATCTATCGAAGAATTTGGACATTGATTCTTTGTAACATAATAAAGATTGCATTTGATAAATTGTTAAATAAAAAAAAAAAGAAAAAGAAAAGGATATTACTACATAAATCATTTAACAACATCGATCTTCTTCACACCGTAGACAATTAAATGTCCGTCTCATTTATAACTAAAGAGAGAACACTCCAGCTTCCTCCACATCCAATTAATTGAAAAGTGAACAATCGATCGATCAGTTAATGGATTGCAATCAGGATGGATTCAATACGACATATAATAATTTTAATGCAATTAGATCGAATTAAAGAAAAAAAAGGAATAACAATCACGATCGGTTGATCGATAAGAAAGTGAATTCTTACCTCTGTTTATCGCCGATTGATTTAATCGCCGTCTGATCATTCAATGGTAACTGGAGATCGATCAATAGCGGTTTCAGGTACGAATACCCGGCTTGTATTTGCCTTTCGGCCTTTAAGCCTCTACCTGGCTCTCCATCTTCTAGCCCATTGTTCAAAGCTTGGCCAGTGAAAACATCGGGTCGAGAAAGTTTTGGAAACACCGTGTCCGTAGTTGGAAGGTAACTAAGGGTCGGTGGTTGTAAATTCGTTACTAGTTGGATATTCCTAGACGCTTCTGTTGTCAATACACCGTTGGTCAAACGTGCAACCGTCACCTAAATTAGATAGTTTTCGCTGTGCTCAGTGTGAACTATTAAGCTATGCTACTTTTCACTTTTTATTTCGAGTAAATTTTATTATATGAAGCTTTTATTTTGAGAGTAAAGAAGATTTTTTTAGAGGGTGTATTTCATGACTGGAAATGAAAGAGGAAAAATTTGTATTCAGTAAAACTTGGATGTATAAATTTTGGATACATGAATATAGTGGAGACTAAAGTTTATTGTTATTTGTTGTTGAATTTTCACTAAATTTGTATTAAAATAGTTATTAACCATAAAAATTGTTGTAAGAATGCATAGCTTTTTTTTACACAACTGAAAAACCGTGTGAAAATGTACTCCTCTTGCAAGAAAATCCTCAATTTTTGGCATATTTTTCACTATGAATGAACTAGATGGTTTTTATCCAACTTTTATTTTTTTTTAGATCTTTTTTAAAAATCTAACAAAATTCTGAGATAATTATATTTTGAAAAAATACTATTTCACATAAATGGTATATTAAGTACATATATATACATAGGAGACAGCTAATAATCTTTGAAGTATAAGAATAAAGTTAAACAGTGTATGTTTGCAAAGTTGATGAAAGGATTTAAAAAAGAAGAAAGATTAATTTTTTACCAAATAAAAAACAAGAATATCCACGACACTGACTAACATTCTGGAAGATTTTCGAGGGAACTAAAGCGACAATATGCACTTGGAGTTCTTTTTATATCCTATAACACTACCTGCCCTCTAAGAGCGAAGTCTTGTACGTCGCAGGAAGTGTATACATCGTGTAAGTAAGTACGTATCTATTTACATACGAAAAGAGATTTCTTGACTTTCTCTTCCCTTTTTCTTTTTTCATATGATGAAATCTTTAATTACCCTTCATTACGATTCTTTACGAAATTTTTTTCTAACGAATATGCTTTGTAATATGTCGTAAAAAGTGTTATAAAGGCGTTTCAATAATCGATATTCTTTGAGAGATTCTATGAATTTTTACATGTATATTTTATTTGCGATATAGTTTTTGTTTTATAACACTTGCTATTAATGAAATATTTAAAATACTTATTAAGTTAATAAATAATATACTATAACTATAAATTATTAGTTATTCGTTGAAATATTAGAATTAAAACTATGAAACAATGTTATTTTTAATTACTTGTTATCATGATCATATATAAAATGATAGAAATAAAGAACGGCAAAAAATTATATGTCATAAATAGGACATGATGACATATCATTCCATGCAATTACAGTATTCTTTTATTCCACGTTTATATAATAGCGATTTTGAAATTAAACTTAAATTTAAATATCGTGAAATCATAAATAAAATTATAGAAATAATTAATTAATCATAAATAAAATGATAAAATATCTTATAATCTTCCAGTAAATCAAGTTTCTGTTAAGATTTTTAATTAGTGTTAGAAAAAAAGATAATAAAGCTAATTAGATGTCAATATTATCTTTTGATATGATGTTTAGACAACAAGTAAGACAAGAAGAGTAGATAGTCGAAGAAGGATAGAAATAGAGTAAAAATTATGGAATCAACGCCATCTTCAGAGTGCCGTAAATGAAACACATATGAAAAGGACAGAAAACAATAAGAGAAAGATAGAGATATAATAAGAATTGATTGCTGCTGCTATCTATTGAATGCTAAAAACATCTCTTTGAAGATAGGATAAGATAGAGTAAGAATTAACAACTAGCGCCATCTCTTACTTAAATATTTTACAAAAGATACTTAGAGTATTCCAGAGATGACGCCACATATCAATTCTTATTCTATCTCTATCCTTTTTCTACTATTTACTGTCCTTTCTATATGAGTTTCATTTACGGCACTCTGAAGATGGCGCTGATTTCATAATTATTATCCTATCTCTGTCCTTTTTCCATTATTTGCTCTCCTTATCTATTTATTAGATATTTTTCTAACTTTTCTAACACCTTATTATTAATTAAAATTAAAAAAGTAATGTAATATTCTTTACATATTAGTATATTATTTAAATATTATACAAAGAAATGATTTATTTTTACAAGGTTATAAAAAGGACGTATGTTTTGAAAACTCGCCTAAATATAATTCCCGCCAATTTCTTCTCACGTGTTGTTCCATTGTTGAATATCGTTGTTTAATTATAATTTTGTAAATAAAAGTGATAGATAAATATTTTAAAAAATGGATGTTGGAGATCCGCAAATTACAAGAGCACGTGTAACTGATGAAGTTGGAATCAAGTGTCAAAAACTATTTCAAGATTTTTTGGAAGAGTAAATTTTTTCATATATTTTATTTTGAGAAATGATAATTATTAAAATTTTTCAGACAATTTATAAATCAATCATATTTATTATTTTTTAATTAACTAGATTTAAAGAAGATGGAGTTGTAAAGTATCTTGAACCAGCCAAAGAACTTGTAAGTCCAGAACATAGTACATTAGAAGTGACTTTTGATGATGTAGATGAATATAATCAAGTACTTTCTACAACTATTGTTGAAGAATATTACAGGTAAAATTTCAAAATAATTCTTAATATAATTCAATATTTATCTTTTAATTAATTTTATTATTTATATTGTTCTTATTTAATGAATTGTGATCTTTTAGAGTTTATCCATACTTGTGCCAAGCAGTATGTAATTTTGTCAAAGATGTAGCAGAATTAAGTAAAGAAAAAGAATGTTATGTAAGTTTTGTGGAAGTTCCAACAAGACAAAAATTAAGAGAATTAAATGCATCAAAGTTTGGTACATTAATACGTATATCTGGGCAAGTAATAAGGACACATCCTGTGCATCCAGAATTAGTATTAGGAACGTTTGTTTGTATGGATTGTAATGCTGTCATAAAAAATGTAGAACAACAATTTAAGGTATAGTTTAATGTAATTAACTTTATTAATACAAATATATATAACTATAATAGATTTATTACAAATTCATATAATTATTTGCAGTTCACAAATCCAACAATTTGTCATAATCCAGTATGTAGTAATAGGAGGCGTTTTTTATTGGATGTTGATAATTCTATATTTATTGATTTTCAAAAAGTCAGAGTACAAGAAACACAAGCAGAACTTCCTAGAGGTTGTATTCCTCGTTCGCTTGAAATAATTTTACGAGCTGAGGCTGTAGAAACTGTTCAAGCTGGTGATAGGTATTTCATTAAAAATGACTATAATTCTATTTACTTCTTTAAAATATTATTGAATATTACATGTATTTTTTAGGTATGATTTTACAGGAACTATGATAGTAATACCAGATATATCTGTTCTTTCACTTCCTGGTGTAAAAGCTGATCTTAAGGCAAAACGTCGGAAAACTGCAGAAGATGGAGATGGTATAACAGGATTGAAGTCTTTGGGAACACGTGAATTAACATATAAAACAGCATTTCTGGCTTGTAGTGTTACTCCAACAAGTTTTAGAGTATGATAAATTAATCATGAAATATTTTTCTTACGATATTTGTATTTATATATCTTTTTAAATAATTAATATTTTTATAGTTTGGTGGTACTGAAACAAATATGGAAGAACTTTCTCAAGAAATGATGAAAAAACGAATGTCAGAAGCAGAATGGAACCGTATATATGAAATGAGCCGCGATAAAAACCTATATCAAAATCTTGTTAATAGTTTATTTTCGTCAGTACACGGTAACGATGAAGTTAAAAAGGGAATTATTTTAATGTTGTTTGGCGGTGTGCCAAAAACAACAATGGAAGGCACATCGTTACGAGGGGATATAAATTGTTGCCTTGTTGGTGATCCTAGTACTGCAAAATCTCAATTATTGAAAAGTGTTGCTGAAATTGTGCCAAGATCGATTTATACTTCGGGAAAAGCATCTTCTGCAGCTGGATTAACTGCTGCTGTAGTAAGAGACGAAGAATCACCTGATTTTGTTATTGAAGCTGGTGCTTTGATGCTTGCTGATCAAGGTATTTGTTGTATCGATGAATTTGATAAAATGGATGTCAGGGATCAAGTTGCTATACACGAGGCTATGGAGCAGCAAACAATTTCATTAGCCAAAGTTTGTTAACACAAATAAATTACATAAATTTTTAAATGTTGCTATATTATTAATAAATAAATAAATTTTTAGGCTGGTGTAAGAGCAACTTTGAACGCTCGAACGTCAATATTAGCGGCGGCAAATCCCGTTGGAGGACGATATGATAGAAAAAAATCTTTGCAGCAAAATGTCCAATTAACAGCTCCTATTATGTCCAGATTTGATTTATTCTTTATTATAGTTGATGAATGCAACGAAATTATCGATAATGCAATCGCTAAAAGAATTATCGATCTACATTGTGATAATTTTCAAGATATTGAAACAGTATATACACAATCAGAGATTATTAGATACATTAATTTTGCTAAACATTTTAAACCTGTATTAAGTCAGGTAGATATTATTATACTTTTCTAAATTTTAATTATTTGTTAAAGTATCTGAATTGATTTTCTTTAAATTTCATAGGAAGCATCAGAATTTTTAATTGATAGTTATACATTGCTCAGGCAAAGGACCGGTACTAATGCCGGCAAATGGAGAGTTACCGTTAGACAATTAGAAAGTCTTATCAGATTGTCAGAAGCAATGGCTAAGTTAGAATGTTCTGATGAAGTTATTGTAAAACATGTTAAAGAAGCAAAACGTTTATTAAGTAAAAGTATTGTTACTGTAGAACAGCCAGATATAGACTTGGAAGAAGATGAAAATGAACATTTGGACGTCGATATGAATGAAGCTCCACCTCTTATGGCTGCTCTTAATGCGATAGATAATAACGAAATGGAAACTCCTCCGCGTAAATTATTTTTTTTTTTTATATTTTACATAAAAATATTAAAAACAGTGATTCTTATTTATTTCTTGTTCTTGGCATTTTGCTTATAGAATCGCAAGAAGTAGCCAAAAAGAAATTAACAATGTCCTTTGAAGAATACAAAAATTTATCTAACATGTTAGTGTTATATATGAGAAATGAAGAAATTCGTGCTGAAACTGAACCTTCAGGTATGTTTATAGAAATTATTTAGATATATATTTATTTCAGTATGCATATTTTCTTTTATGTATTAGAGGATGCTAAAGGTGGATTAAAGAAATCAGAATTAGTGGCATGGTATCTAGATCAAATACAAGATCAAATAGATTCCGAGGAAGAATTATTGGAAAGGAAAAATTTTATTGAAAAAATTATTGATAGACTAACATATCATGTATGTACTAAAGTTGTTAATTTAAAATTATTCGAATTTTATTTTTGGTACTTCAATTCTCAATTTTTTTTTCTCTTTTTTGTTTAATTGTATTTTAGGATCAAATTATAATACCTTTAACTACGACAGATTTAAGAGACAAAGACGAAGAAGAAGAAGATGATCCTTTACTTGTTGTACATCCTAATTACATTATTGATGTCTAAATTTTTGTAATATAATTAAAATCATACACTTATCAAGTAAATGTAAGTAGAGGCAATGAAATTACATTTTAAATCTGTTGACATATTTAAATCGGAATTCATCTCTACTCACTTTTACTTAATGAAAATATTGAATTTACAATTCGAAAACGATAATAATACTATATTTTTACATTTTTTTATAATTTGTAATCTAAAATAAATATTTATATTTATATATATTTTATTTCATTGACTGTTTATTTTAAAACTATTATAACTCTTTAACAATATCTTAACGAAGTAGCTGTTAATTGTGTTAATTGTTATATAGGTTGCTATGTCATTCATATAGTCTAATGCTTTCATAAATTAACATACGTACGAAGCGAAGATGTATAAAATAGATGATTTGAGACGACCTATACTCGTTTGAAGTATCTAAAAGTAAATGAGATCATGAGACATTATTTCATATTTAAATAGTAATAATTTTTTAAATTAATTTTCACTAATGATTTAAAGTTCGTTGTAAATTTTGTTTTAGAAATTTAAAACAGATTATCACGCACAATTTTCGAAGAAATATTTTAACATTTAGCAACTAGCTTTCTTAAGACACAACTCACAGTAACACATAGCTCTTTATCATTACCTTACTTTACACATGGTGGGGGAATTTGTATAGCGTGGTTAAAAGAATTTACTTTTGAGATGAATTTGTAGTGTTTAGCGCGATTCTATCACAGGATGACTGTGAATGAACAATTAAAAGAATCGGCTCGCCATGTGAGTATTGAATTAAAAGATGTAAGAGAGAGAAGAAAAATAGTGTGTACATTATTTGCAATTCACAAAGAATCAATTATTATTCTTTATTATAATTATGCATCTTAATTATTAATTTTTAAATTATTTTTTATATTGCATTATTGTATTATATTTATAAATATAATTTAAATACAGGATTATTCGTGGCCAGTCTTTATTGGAAACTTTAGCATTTTGCAAGAATATTTGTCAGAAAAAGAAAGTTACCTCTGGAGCGTGGTACGCTTATTTGACTTTTTACTGCGAGGTTTTGGTCAAGTAAGTTATTAAGTTTAAATTTAATATTTGAAAAATATATATTTAATATATAATAATTTATAAAAAAAAAAATTATAAGAAAATTTAAAAGTAAACAATAAATAAATAATTATTTATATATACATACATCTTTCAATTTATATAAATATAAAAATCATTTAAAAAACATTCACGTGTCTATTCAAATCGGTTAAAAGATTCAAATTCGTACAAATTTAATCGCCGTAAATTTACAGGTCGTGTTTTCGAATAATCCAATTAGTGGTCTATTGATAATAATTTCTTTAGGAGCTACTTCACCAGGTACATTATTATTCGCAGCCAGCACCGGTTTTTCAGGTCTTCTGTTATCCATGGTGCGTATAATTATATCGAATTTCATATTTTCTCTCGAAAATAAAAATTATTATTATTTTCTGCATATTAATGAACAAACATAACGATATATTAAAGATGAATAGACACTGCAATATAACAGTTATTATATTATGTGACGTAGGAATATGATCATTTTTCATTTTTTATTATTTGCTTTTTTCGTTAACAATACATTGTGTCACAAGTGTCAGGCAAAATGACTGCAATGCGGAATTTTTTGCGAGAATTAATTCGATCGCATGGTGGTACATTTTACCGAGTTTTTTCATTCATGTCATATGAATTTGCACATTTACATTCTGGAAAGGATATTTCATTCGCAGCTGTTGCAAGATCCACAGGAACATATTGCAAATGGGTTGACCGTGTTCAATCCACTATTAGTCGGCGCTGTATCCTATACTTTGATACCCAGAGTCTATGGGCCATTTGACAGTTTAAGTATACTATTGATACTTCTTGGGACGATATTCAGGCAAGTTTCAAGTTTGAATAATAAATAATAAGAAATTTTCATTAATATTTATTGTATTCACAAAAATTTATCGTCATCGCTAAATAATTAAAATTGTAGCAAAAAATATAAAAGCAAGTATATGAATATGTATTTATAATATATACATTGATAACATCCTTACAAATATTATTTACGTGATGATGAAACAGATTCCTACAATTTATTTGCAATAAATAAAAATATACATTTTTCATTGTATCTTTATTATATTTTAGAATATTTCATTTTTACGTATACCTTTATCAAACTGTATATATACAGTTTTTAGATTTCAAATTTGCTTATAATAATATATCTGTCAATGTATGAATTTAATTTATATTAAAAATTATTATCCTTCTTTGTTAAAATAAAAACTAAATTCTTTTATCTCTGTATAATTAAATTGTATTGAATATTTGAATATATATTATATTATATTATATTACATTAAATATCAAATATTGAAATTACATTACTTCTATTGCTAGGATAAAATTTAATATTCTACAACGAAATCAAACGAAACTTAGATAGAAGTTAATCATAGAAGTTTTGTTTCCTAAATTTTATAGTTAACAATCAATGTTCACAGTGTTTACATGACCCGATCCATGAGAGACAATAAAATACCAGCTATGGCATGGCCGTTTAATCTGGCTGAATTTGCATTGCTCCTGGTCCTTTATGCCAAACACAATGGACTTGATACGGCAGAGAAACTTATGAGAATGGTAATAGAATTCTGTTTTGAGCATTCAGCTTTGCTATTGTCTCAATTCTTCAAGCACGTGCTTAATAGTATCATGCAATTTTATTTATTTTTGAAGAATTTCCCATTCGCACGTTTTTTCACAATATTAATTACATTTCCAGTTAAAAATTAATTGCACGCCTATCAAACGTTCCTTGGTATGCGTATTAGAACGCGTGTTTACACAATGTGAATTACTGGATACAACCATGAACTGCAAATTCGCATGCATATAAGAAGTGATAAAATTATTTATCGTGGATGCACAATGTACAATGTGCATCCACATAGTTTTCAACAGTTTGCAATGTAGTAAAAAACAGTTATTAACTCTAAGATTTATCTGTATTGTGTGCACAACGCATAACGATAACGGATATTTTGAAAATCCAAGGTCACCCTAATATAAATTCTAATTGAATGGAATCATCATATTATTTTCTCCTTTCTATTATAAATAATATTTACACACGCTGATTTTTATCGATCTTAAGATTAATTTCGCGGGAAGAATAGATTTTATGGATTATCTTTGTTGTGCTCATGATAAAAGCAATTATTTTTAAAACGCTTAATAAAACGAATCATTTAAATGTTTTTCAATAGAGTTATATAATTTTTTTCTATTATATCTATGTAAGGGACACAGTTCACACGACTTTGAGATTAATTTCAATGAAATATCTTACTCTTGAAATATTTTAATCATGAAAAAATATTACATTGATATTATCTTTGTTATGTAAGTGTACGATATGTAACGATAAATACTATTTCTAAAATATGTCGTTGTTTTGTGATAATGAATTTAAAGCCCGTAAAGGACACAAGCTTAACTCAATTTCACTTCGTATAATCTAAAGATTAATTTCATTAAATCCAATGTTATTCTTGTGTTTGTTAGATTTTACGATATGTACATGGGATGAAACTGAATTATTTATCAATACGCGAGGATTTTTTTTTTTTTATTTCGTCTCACTTGCCTCCAGTGAAGATATCAATTCGATAACACATTTTCGAATTTCGATATTTTTTTAATATTTTTAACTCGCTAAGTCGAGATAAATAATAATTGATATAATTGATAATTAAAATTTGAGATTTAGTTTAGATTTTAATTAATGTCTAGATTTATTTTAGTCGATATGATTTCATCAATTCGTTAATTCAATAAACAAACACGGATAAGAAAGATAAAAATTTAATTTTTTTTTTTTCTTACAAATTAAACGGATTGTTATTTATTATTGGCTTATTATAAATTTGAAAAGTTTGAAAAATTTGAGAAATCAAAAATTTGTATTTTCTCAGTTTTGAATACTTACTTCTTTAAATTTCTAAAATTTAATAAAATATTTTCGTGAATTTAAAAAATCAGATTTCCATCCATATCTAGTTCATGCCTTATAGCATAGACACAATGTGAATTTACAATGATAAATGATTAACACATTTGCTTCAGATGACATCAATGTTTCGCTTATTTTATATGTGCAGATGACGCCAAATAACATTATCATTTGTTTCACGTTTCATTTGTTAATAATACATATACCTTTTGCATATTTATAGAAGAACGCGTGATATTATGCATAGATACATATTTGTTTGACATAAATTAATTTAATTAAAATTTAATTAAAATCCTATAGAGATACTGTTAAATTAATTTTGCATTAATATAATATTTCTCAAATTCAAGTTAGAATTTTGCATAAATTTCTCGAGAAACTTTTAAATATTTAATTGTAAAATTAAAAATTAGAACAAGTTGAAAAAGTTTCATACTTGCACTTCTGACATAATATTAATTTTTTTTGAAAAATTTTTTTTGAATTATTAAAAGCGTTAACAAAAATGTTTCTTCTTCAAATTTGGTATTCAAATATTATTTTTTTTTATTTAAATAAATAATCATGAATTTTGTATAGTAATCTTTATAAAAATTGCTTCAATTGTAATATTACTTACACGAATGTAAATATGTTGCCACTTTTAGTTAAAATTTGTATTCTAAGAATTTGAAACATTCAAAAAGTTTCAACAAGTTTGTAGCATCATTGTAAGGAAAAATAAATTAAACTGTCTTAACTTCAACTTAAAAAAGTTCTCTGCAAAGTTCGTATATGAGTTTTGTAACTTTATTATAAAGAGATAAAAGATGCATAGAACTTTAAATTTTTATAAAAATGAAAAAATGATAGGTAAAATATTTTACTTAAGACAATGAACATACAACTCTTGTTTATCTTCTTTATAGAGTTTCTTAATGTGCTTCTCTCTCTCTCTCTC